GGAGATCTTCCTCAAGAGCGGAACTCGGGGGTTTCTCCGCTCTCGTTTGCTTTGCCCGTTGTCTCCTGCAGAGCTTCCGGCACAAAACCTGTTTCCAGCAGAGCTTGGGGATGGCTTGAGATACTGGGAGGAGTTTGGGTTGGGTTTTTCTTTTGGTTTTGGCGAGGTTAATTTAAAAAATAACCCTGTCGGGGCGGTGTCGTAGTCCATAAACTCACCTAGCGATGCGATACCCGCAGCCGAGAGAGCTGGCAGGGCTTCATCGTTCTCCGAAGGTCGCTGCGTCCGCCAGGACGGTTTTGCCGCCCCGCTTTGCTGATGCCTTTATCCTTCTCTCCGTGTTTTTTTTGTTTTGTTTTGTTTTTTTCTGAATTTCCAGGAAGCGCGACGTGATGCAGAACATCATGCAGATCCTGGAGTCGGTCCAGCTGAAGTGGGAGCTGTTCCAGAGCTGGACGGACTTCTCCAGGCTCCACCTTTCGAACAAGCTGGCCATCTTCGGCATCGGGTACAACACCCGCTGGAAGGAGGACATCCGTTACCACTACGCGGAGATCAGCTCGCAGGTGCCCCTCGGCAAGCGGCTGCGGGAATACTTCAACTCGGAGAAACCCGAGGGCCGGGTCATCATGACGCGGGTGCAGAAAATGAACTGGAAGAACGTTTATTACAAATTCCTGGAGATCACCATCAGCGAGGCCCGGTGCCTGGAGCTGCACATGGAGATCGACTGGATACCCATCGCCCACTCCAAGCCCACCGGAGGGAACGTCGTCCAGTATTTATTGCCGGGAGGGATCCCCAAAAGCCCCGGCTTGTAGTGCCACGAGAACCCCCCCTCGCCCCTGGCCGAGCGCAGGGCGCCCGATCCCGGCAGCGAGACGCCAGGCGAGCTGGAGGTGCCCTCGCCGCAGGCCTCCCTCCGGCTGGACGTGGAGTCCGCCCGGATTATCTACTGTTACCTCGGCATTGCCGAGGTCCGGACTCTCCAGCAGTGCCTGTTTTTACACTTCCAGGCGAACACCAAAACCTTCAGCAAAGATTGGGTGGGGATCAACGCCTTTTTGTCTCAGAACTGCGTGATAGAGCCCGGCGTCTCACCCAAATCCATCTACATCAAATTCGTGGAAGTGGAGAGGGATTTTCTATCCGCCGGCTCTCTGGTAGAGTGCCTGGAAAAAGCCATCGGATACCCCTTAAAATTTAACAACTGAGCCTCGTCCTTCATAAGGATTCGGGCTTTCCGCCCCGGATTTTTTCTGTCGTCGTTTCGTTTTCCCATCTCGCTACCGGACGCTTTCGGATCCCGTCCCGTCGCAGCCGGGCGAGTCGGACGAGTTTTTTTTT